TGGCTATAGGCACTGTAGTTGTCTCACCCAGGAAGTCTTCACTGTTCTGGTATCCTATGTATGTTTGCATGGACTTTTCTCTATGCATGTTTGCATGGACTTTTCTCTATGCATGTTTGCATGAAATTTTTCAAGAAATTATTATTATTATTATTACATAGAAATCACAGTAACGTGATATATTAAGCGCGCGTGTGGGAACATCCAGCACATAGGTTCGAACCCTCACCAAGGCCCTAGCGGATTTGTTCATTATTATTATATTATTATTATTATTATTATTATTATTATTATTATTATTCGGGTTCACGTGATGCCATACACAGGGTTATATTTTTAGTGTGAATGGTTCTCAGCCTCTGTTGACATCGGCTGTTATTCCTCTCTGCTTCCTTTGTTTGGGCTTAGCTCGTGACATCTGCCAACTCCCTTTGTTTGTTTCCATTTTACATGTAGTTGCTGTATGTAGCATGTGTATGTATGTAGTATGTATGTACGCGACGCATGTATGTGTACGTGTAGGTGTTAATGCTTTGTGTGTAAGAGATAAAATGCGAGATATACCAGACGGTATATCAAGTGTGAGTTAATGAGAAACATCAGCTGGTAATGAGAGAGAGAAAGAGAAGAGGGATGCGTTGAGAGGCGGGACAGTAAGCCTCCATCTGTCACATCTGTGAGAGGAAGAAGTGCGTCACGATGAGAGGAGTAGGGGGGGAGGGGCTAGTGTTGGAAGGGGGAGTGGCAGGGACATGGGAGAGGAAAGGAGGTTGAGAGAGAGAAAGGCGTTTGGCTGAATGGAGGTGAGAGGCCAGGGGGGAAAATGAGAGGAGGAGAGAGTGAGAGAGAGAGAGGGAGAGAGAGAGAGAGAGAGAGAGAGAGAGAGAGAGAGAAGAGAGAGAAGAGAGAGAGAGAGATAGAGAGAGAGAGAGAGAGAGAGAGAGAGAGAGGAGAGGGGGGACAGAGGGCTGGGAGAGTGCAGGGCAGAGAGGAGAGAGAGAGAGAGAGAGAGAGAGATGGGAGAGAGAGAGAGAGAGAGAGAGAGAGAGAGAGAGAGAGAGAGAGAGAGAGAGAGAGAGAGAGAGAGAGAGAGAGAGAGAATAGGAAGAGGGGAGGACGGGGCTGGGTGTTGAAGACTCAGGAAATGGCGCCTCCATTTTGTCTCTTGGACAAACAGCGTGAATATGAGACACTCCTTAGACACTATTCCTTGATGTAAACATGTTGTTTATCACCGCTATATCACCACCTTAATTAAACTTCCTCTGTAGCGTGCGAGGAGACACCAGAGGCACCGCCACACCTCCGGACTCTCTTGCCACTCCATCGGACTAATGACTGGTGTTGATATAGGCCGGCCAACCAAAGCGTATATACCTTGGTTCATACCCTTCTGGGGAGGCAGAACCACTTGTAATTTTACGATTGGTAAATAGAGTGACTGCACCAGCACCGTCGCTACTCACGTGGACGAGCAGGCTTCGTTGACTAATTGCTCGCGATTAATCAGCTCCATGACGGCGTCAGACGGTGTGTACTTATCTACTTGTGCTTGCGGGGGTTGAGCTCAGGCTCTTTGGGCCCGCCTCTCAACCGTCTGCGTGCTTCAGGTCAGCTGAGTTAACAAGGCTCTTCTGTACACCAGGTAAACTCTGCTACACCTGTTGCTTCATCAACACACCTAAGTGTGCGTGGTACTACCCGGCGCAAAGGTTCGAATCGTCATCACGGCCCCTACGGATTTTCACACCCAAGTGTTATACACTTGTAACGAATGATATATAAAAAAAAACAAAAAAAAAAAGATACTCGTACAGAGGCTAGGCTGGACAATCATTTTTCAACAGGTTTTAAACAGGAATGGGAAAAATAAGCAACAACAACAACAAAATAATGAAATCCATTTGATATCATGTTCTGATGACTAACATAAAAACGGATTTGTAAATAATATTATCAATAAAGCTAATCTAGCCTATTGTTTGATATCAAATTAAAAAAAGAAAATAGAAAACCATATGTTAGCGACTGTTGATGAATGACGTTCACCTAAACTATAAGCTTATTTACCTAAACTATAAGCTTATTTTTACCTAAAATATCAGCTTATTAATCGCCAGAGTCACGCAGGTAAGACCAGAGACAAGTTCACGTTGTGGACCCGTGAAGGGCGAGTCCTCTCCGCCTCTCGTTGTTTGAGAGACAGAGGAAACCTCCCACCAAACACACATCAAAACTACGACGTTGGTACAACGTTCGAACAAGTTTTAACACCACCTAACCAGTTATAACAACCAATATAGCAAGTTGTAACAACGTTCTAATACGTCATAAACACGTTAAGCCAAGATGTAACAACTTTATTACAAGTTGTAACAAGCGGAAAATAGAGACAGTTACGGTTTGTGTTTCCAGGGCTTATTCTATTATGTCTTTTTAATAATGGTTGATTCGTATTTTTGTCCGGTCTACAAGCGTTCTCACAGCACCTAAATACCCCCACTTTTGTCCAATGAGTTCTTGAAGTGTAACTCTGTGTTTCTAAATTTCTGAAAATGCCGAGTTTTTTCTTTTCGCATTACCTCTGGTAAATCTTGTTTTGAATGACTGGTTATTGAGTCTACTTAGCTACTTAGAACAAAAGTTCGAAAGTAGCACGGGCTATGGTGAGCCCGTAGTGGACTTACCTGGCACAGGAGCGGGGCAAGTAGCACGGGCTATGGTGAGCCCGTAGTGGACTTACCTGGCACAGGAGCGGGGCAAGTAGCACGGGCTATGGTGAGCCCGTTGTGGACTTACCTGGCCCAGAAGTGGGGCAAGTAGCACGGGCTATGGTGAGCCCGTAGTGGACTTACCTGGCACAGGAGCGGGGCAAGTAGCACGGGCTATGGTGAGCCCGTAGTGGACTTACCTGGCACAGGAGCGGGGCAAGTAGCACGGGCTATGGTGAGCCCGTAGTGGACTTACCTGGTACAGGAGCGGGGCAAGTAGCACGGGCTATGGTGAGCCCGTAGTGGACTTACCTGGCACAGGAGCGGGGCTGTAACTCGTCTCTCTGGTTTGTTAAATGATTTAACAATCCTTTAACCGATTGTTAAAGGATTAAATATCACGAGTGGAGTCAGGTGAACAGGCAGCCTGTGGGGCATTTAAAGGACGTCATTTATTTTAATTGTGTTTACATTTAACAAAACCTATGTAGAGGTCCAGCTCTATGATAATGTCTCTGTAAATCAATGCAAAATATATATGATTTGCATTATAATTGACTAGAGCAATATGTATGTTTGTTTCTTAACTAATTATTTGTTAGTAAGTATTTCTGAATCGTCTCTATTCTTTTCCTCTCTGTCTCTGTTTCGTTGTCTCTCACTCTCGCTTTCTCTCACTCTCTCTGTGCCTGTCTGTCTAACTCTCCTCTGTGTCTCTGTCATATACAGTATTGTCTTCTCCCCCCCCCCTGTGTATTGTAGTGGTTTATATTATTTAAAACTTTGCTACACAAAATGGGTGACAACACTGGATACATACAAGCTACAAAGTTAGCTGTCACAGTGTGTAGAGTTCCTCCAGCTACTCAGATGGCGGTGACTCCATGAATACAGTTTGTATTCCTCTCTGTATTGTGATGTAGACACGCTGGAAGAGAAGCTGGCGGCTCTAGAGTCTCTTGTTGTATCTATTAGCTTAGAACCCATATCTTTTCCAAAAAAAACTAGTGTTACTTTTACCCCAGGCTTCAAGTGCCTCCGAGGCAATGGAGACAAAATTGTAATGGTGATCCAGATCTCTGTATTTACGAGACTTAACTTTCCCTGAAGGTGGCACCTGAGCGAGATTATATATATATATATATATATATATATATATATATATATATATATATATATATATATATATATATATATATATATATATATATATATATGTCGTACCTAGTAGCCAGAACGCACTTCTCTGCCTACTATGCAAGGCCCGATTTGCCTAATAAGCCAAGTTTTCATGAATTAATTATTTTTCGACTACCTAACCTACCTAACCTAACCTAACCTAACTTTTTCTGCTACCTAACCTAACCTAACCTATAAAGATAGGTTAGGTTAGGTTAGGTAGGGTTGGTTAGGTTCGGTCATATATGTACGTTAATTTTAACTCCAACAAAAAAAAATTGACCTCATACATAATGAAATGGGTAGCTTTATCATTTCATAAGAAAAAAAATTGAGAAAATATATTAATTCAGGAAAACTTGGCTTATTAGGCAAATCGGGCCTTGCATAGTAAGCTGAGAAGTGCGTTCTGGCTACTAGGTACGACATATATATATATATATATATATATATATATATATATATATATATATATATATATATATATATATATATATATATATCAGTGGTACAGCTGAGTGCTGTACCACTGTACCACCAAACTACAAAAGCATGGGAGTCTTTATGAATTCATTCAACTCCATGGTCGAGTGCATTCTGGTTATGAGGTCAGCTATTTCATCTAGTCCAGGTTTAGGCCACGAAACGTCCTTTGATATCGCATGTTTTAAGTTGACATTTATGAAAAAAATATATATAAATGCTTATTTTGTAATAAGTGCGCGTATTTCTGGCACAGGTTGACAGGATAGAGACAGGTTGCCTCTATCTAACCTAACATGGTAATGTTAGGTTAGACAGAGACAATACTGGTGTTCCTGGGTAGGAACAGAAACTGCCGCTTGAGGGCCAGTTGATCTTCTGAAGGTTCTTCTGGTCTTAGGATTTTAATCATTTTATATCCACTCAAACTCCTCTCCTAACAAGGTCCTCCTCACCTTCTTGTTCCAATCCCTTGGTTGATCTCTCTTCTCTGACCTCTTTAGTAGTAGTAGTTCTATTATCAGAAGCAGAATGTAAGATATTTTCTCTCTCCAGTTAAATGCTTCCCTCCTGACAGGCAGTAATGTGACCTTCTGACATGTTTCTCCCTCTCTGTGTTGGTGGCAGGCGTTCTCGGACCTGCTGCTGGGGGTGTTCTGCATGCCCTTCACCCTGGTCGGCTCCTTGCTCAGGGACTTCATCTTCGGACCCGTCATGTGCCGTCTCATTCCTTACTTCCAAGGTGGGTGTTTTGTTATTGTGTGTGTGTGTGTGTGTGTGTGTGTGTGTGTGTGTGTGTGTGTGTGTGTGTGTGTGTGTGTGTGTGTGTGTGTGTTACGGCCTGCTTGAGCATTTAACAGGGTTCTTTCTGCTTACTGGGCCTTAGAGCCTCTTATTCTATGAACCCATCCCAAAGTCATTGGTAAGTTCTCAAGAACTGGCGGTAGTAAGTAATTGTGCAAGGAATAAACGAACGTAAACAAGACACAATAACACCTTCACCAATATATTATCTCTCGAAGTATTACAACACTTACGTATACAGTGTCGCTATCACCCCAGAACACTCAGTATATCTGCCGTGCTCTTCTAGTCCCGGTGAGTCCACTATCTCCAAGTACACGTCGCCCACGCTCAGTGGTCATCACCGGCTAGTTCACCTTCTCAAGATGGGCCAGTCCACACACCGTATCGTCCCAATACCCCACATCTGCTCTCCAGCAACACACTGGCAGAGGACTTCAGCAACACACTGGCAGAGGTCTTCAGCAACACACTGGCAGAGGTCTCCAGCAACACACTGGCAGGGGTCTCCAGCAACACACTGGCAGAGGTCTTCAGCAACACACTGGCAGGGGTCTCCAGCAACACACTGGCAGGGGTCTCCAGCAACACACTGGCAGGGGTCTCCAGCAACACACTGACAGAGGACTTCAGCAACACACTGGCAGAGGACTTCAGCAACACGCTGACAGAGGACTTCAGCAACACGCTGACAGAGGACTTCAGCAACACACTGGTAGAAGTCTCTAGCAACACACTGACAGGGGTCACACATAATCACTTCCAGGGTTCTCTAACACCCTGGCAGACGTCTCTAGCAACACACTAGCAACACTTCTCAGCAGACGGCCACTATTGTCATCTTGTAACTCTTCTTGGTCAAATCCCGGGTACGTCGCTGTACACAACACTGCATAAGTCCAGCAGCTATCACACTGCTACTACCGACGGCGGCCACTTGTCCTCTCACAGGACCAAGTCAGGTGTTCTGGACTGCCCTAGGTGAACTGCCTTTCACAGCACAATAGACTCTCCAAAGTCACCTCTGTGGACATAAAATTCATGAGTCAGACCGAATGTATACAGGGCGAACACAGGATGACAATCTTCCACTGTGGAACTGAAATTGTAATTAAATGCGCAATCTAGATGGCGTTGATATTGTTACGTCACTCACCAGAGGTTATCAACATCGACCTCACCGTCTAACTGAGGTATGAAACAGGAGCCTCTCACAGACGCCACACCACCGCCAACAGATGGCGTTGTCTGTCTCACCTAATGCCTTAGCGTTGGAGTACAGGGCCATAGATGGCGCCGATATCGCCACTCCACACTCCAGCAACGGTGTTGATACCGTACCAGTGTGTGTGTGTGTGTCTGTGTATGTGTGTGTGTGTGTGTCTGTGTATGTGTGTGTGTGTGTGTGTGTGTGTATGTGTGTGTGTCTGTGTATGTGTGTGCGTATTACCTAAGTGTAGTTACAGGATGAGAGCTACGCTTGTGGTGTCCCGTCTTCCTAGTATTCTTTATCGTATAACGGTTTGAAACTACTAACGGTTTTGACCTCCACCACTTTCTCACTTAGTTTGCTCCATCCGTCTACCACTCTGTGAAAGAAAATTTTCTAATAATTTTTCGGCACTTCTCTTTTCTTAGCTTAAATCTGTGTCCTCTTGTTGTTGAAGTTCATGGTTTCAGAAATTCCTCTTTGTCAATTTGGTCGATTCCTGTTAATATTTTCCAAGTGGGGATAATATCTCCTCTTTTTCTTCTATCTTCTAGTTTTGGCATGTTTAACACCTCTAGTCTCTCCTCATAACTATTTTTTTTCAGTTCTTTAAGCCTTGTGTAGCATTCCGTTACACCTTTCCAGTGCACCACCTTTTATTTATGTACTCCTTGAGATTTGGGCACCATACAACTGCTGCATTTTCCACTTATGATCTTACAAAAGTTATGAACAGTTTCATTAGTATTTCACCATCCATATATTGAAAAGCAAGTCTGAAGTTGGAAATCGACGCATACGCTTCTCTCACAATGTTCTTTATGTGTTCGTCTGGCGACAGTTTACTGTCCAAAATCACCCCCATAGGTCTCGTTCTTTATTAAGAGTTCTGTAATTCCTCTCCACATAATTTGTAAGTTATGTCTGGTCTATTTTCTCCGATATCACATTACATAACATGGCATTTATTCACAATGAATTCCATTTACCACTTGACACTCCAAGCACTTATTTAAACTAGATCTATTTGAAAGGCATTACAATCGTCTGCGTCTCCTATCTTCCCCAGTATCTTAGCATCATCCGCAACCATGTTCATATAATTCTGTATTCCTTCTTGTAGATGGTTAATGTAGACGATGAACATTACTGGTGCAAGAACTAAACCCTGTGGTACTCCGCTAGTAACACTCCTCCAGTCAGATACATTGTCTCTGATTACTGCCCTCATCTGTCTGTCAATTTGAAAGTTTTTCACCCATGTCAGAAGTCTCCCTGTCACCCCTCCAGCATGTTCCAGTTTCTTGAACAGCCTCTTGTGTGGGACTCTATCTAAAGCCTTATTTAGGTCCAGATAAACAGTCAACCCAACCAATCTATCTGTCACCGTTTTTGTATATTGGGACTACATTAGCCGTTTTCCATATTTCTGGTTGGTTTCCCATCTCCAGTGACCTACAATACACTATGGAGAGTGGCAAGCAAAGTGCTTCTGTACACTCTTTCAATACCCATGGTGAGTTCCGTCTGGGCCAACAGCCTCACGTCCAGATCCAACTGATGCCTCTTGACCTCATCTCTTGTAATTTCGAACCCTTACAAGGCCGCCTGGTTTACTGCCACCTCTCAGAGCGCAGTGACCTCACCTCGTTCTATTATGAAGACCTCCTGGAACCTCTTGTTGAGTCCTTCACACACCTCTTTGTCATTCTCTGTGTACCTGTCCTCGCCCTGTTCTAAGTTTCATCACCTGTTCCTTCACTGTTGTTTTCCTCCTGATGTGACTGTGGAATAGCTTTAGTTCGGTCTTGGCTTTATTAGCTCTATCATTTTCATACTTTTTCTCAGCTTCTTTTCTCATACTAACATAATCGTTCCTGGTTCTCTGGTATCTCTCTCTACTTTCTGGTGTTCTGTTATTTCGGAAGTTCCTCCACGCACTTTTGTTCAGTTCCTTTGCTTTTATACATGCCCTATTAAACCACGGATTCTTCTTTTGCTTCTCGGTTTTTTCCTGTCGGGCCGGGATAAACCTGTTTACTGTCTCCTGACACTTTTGGGTGACATAGCCTATCATGTCTTGTACGGACTTATTCTGAATTCTGTGTCACATGGTATATCCCTTAGGGATTTTCTCATCTTCCCATAATTTTTCTTTCGGTACGCCAGCCCTTTGTTTCCCAGTTCTTTTTTGGGGGAGATATTGCCTAGCTCAACCAGGTACTCAAAGATCAGTACACTGTGATCACTCATTCCCAAGGGGCTTCCAGCTTAACTTCCCTTATATCCGACTCATTTAGGGTAAATATCAGATCAAGCATAGCTGGTTCATATTCTCCTCTCATTCTTGTCGGTCCCTTGATGTGTTGGCTTAGAAAGTTTCTTGTTGCCACGTGCAGCAGCTTAGCTTTCCAAGTGTCTGGCCCCCCATGTGTCTCAGTTCTCCCAATCTATCTTCCCGTGATTGAAGTCTTCCATAATTAGTAATCTGGATCCGTTCCTGCTGGCTACAGAAGCTGCTCTCTCAGTTATTTTAATGGAGGCCATGTTGTTTCTATCATATTCCTGTCTGGGTCTTCTGTCATTTGGTGGGGGGGGGGGGGGGGGGGGGGGGGGGTTACATATGACTACTATGGGGGTGGGGGGGGGGGGGGGTGGGGGGGGGGTGGTGGGGGTTACATATGACTACTACTATAATTTTTTGTCTTCCAATTGCTATGGTACCTGTTATGTAAACAATGAAATCTTAACAGCCCTGAATAACCATCTCTTCAAAACTTCAGCCTTTTCTTATCAGCAAAGCTCCACCACCTCCCCTTCTTTCTTCTCTCTCTCTCTTTTCTCACTACATAGTAGGCCTGTGGAAACACTGCATTTGTTATGGTTTTTGTTAGCTTTGTTTCTGTGAGTGCTATTATGTCTGGGTTTTCTTCTTGTGCCCATTCTCCGAGTTCACTTGTTTTATTTGTAATCCCATCTATGTTAGTGTACATTGCCTTGAAGCTCACTTTCTTCTGGTCATTCTCTTATCCCCCTTCTTGGTGAGCGTTCTGCTGATGGAGGAAGCTGTTCCCTGGGTGTGAAGATCTGTGAGGTGGTTAACAGGGTCTCAGAGGATTCTGGGGTGGGGGGAGGGGTACAAGGGAAGGGGGGACAGGGTGGGTATGGGGTAAGTAGGTAAGGGGGACATGGAGGATATAGGGTAAGGGGGGAGGAGGGATAGGGAGGGGAATGGGATGAAGGGGAAGGGGAGACAGGGGGGGGGGAGGTAGGGAAAAGGGGGAGGGGAGACATGGTGGGAATGGAGGAGGGGTGACAGGGTTGGTATGAGGTTAGGGGGGAGGGAGGATTTATATGCAGAGAAGGGTAGTGGTGATGCCCGCCTCTCTGGTGCTGCTGGGATGCTGGTTGTGGGTTCCCCCCTCGTATTTGGGAATGTTGTGTTGAGGGCTGTGATTTCCTGGTTTACTCCTCTCTCCCTGCGCTTCCTCCTTGCCTCTGTCGCCATGGCTCTCGCCTCCTTCGTCCTGCCCTCCTGGAGAAATACCTCTTTGTATTCCTCCACGTACTGCAGATGGCTCTTCCTTTCTAGAATATCTTCCTTTGTGGTCTAGTTTGCAAACACTGTTTTTACCAGGGAGTGTCTGTCCTTGTTGTACCAGCCCAATCTTTAAACCTTCTCAATGTTTTTTTCAGCCCCATCCATCTTTAACCTCTTTAGTAATCCA